CATTTCTTCAAGAATTAATTATTAATAATTGTGGTATAGAACAAATTAAATTACCTAATCAAGGTTTTATTTTTAAAAAATTTTGAAAATAAATAAAATTTTTTTGTTTTCTTTTTAATATTTAGTTGATTCAAATGAATTATTTCAATCATTAAAGTATCTTTATATGTCTGATAATAAAATAAGTTCATATTCATCAATAAATGAATTAAGTCGTATATCATCATTAATATCATTCAGTATACTTCGAAATCCAATATATGGATTAAATCAATTTGAAAATGAAACAGCTAAACAAATGATTATAGCTCGTTTACCTAATTTAACATATTTAAATCGAGTTTTAATTAGTCATGATGAAAGACGTGGAGCTGAAATTGATTATTTACAACGTTATGCTCAAGATTATTTTGATACTAAATTAGATTTTATTAATGAACATAGACAATATCAAAGATTAATTAATAAATATGGTGAACCTTTAAAACAAAATAAAAATCAGGTTAAACATTTTATTTCAATAGAAATAAATATATTTATAGATTTATCTAAATAAAAATATTTTTCTTTTTTATTGAATCAATCAAATATTTTCTGTTTATAAATAAGTTGATTGTCTTACCTAAATTAAATTAAATTAAATTAAATTAAATTAAATAATAATAAAAAACGCAATAAGTTTTATATTGAGACTGTTTAACCCTTTGGCTCCTATAGTATGAAAAAAGGTACATCTGTTTTATAATTATTTAATATAACATAATTTATATAAATTCATCAAACAAACGTTTACACGAAAGGCAAAAAAAAAGCAAAAATTATAGATAAAATTTAATTATAAAACGTCTCTAGCCGTCAAATCGCTTTTCGATCGAGACGACATTGATTTGGTGAGTAAGAGTGTTCATTTTCGATATATTGAAAGTTGACTAGGCTTTTCAACAAAGTCAATTTTCCGGTTGAAGTCAAACGGAGCAGAGGTTTTTGTTGAAAAACCCGATCAGATTTCAATATCTGAAAAGCTAATAGTTGGAAATGAAAATCATTCTAGACTTTTCTATAACTCATTAAATCTCATCAAATAAAGATCTTATCAGTCGAAAATCAATTTGACAGTTGAATATATTACTTTGATAGTTTTATTTAAATATGATTGGAAAATACAAATGATAAAATTGAATATTTTCTTATTTTAGGAATCAAAAAAAGGTCTTTGTATTCGTCGAGATTTATTAAAAGTTATATTTGAATTTGGTGATGAAAATGAAATAAAAATTGAAAAAAAAATTCCATCATCAATGACAATAGCAAAATTAAAAACATTTGTTCGAAAATTATTTCCATCACAATTAACAAATGATATTCAATTTAATTTATTTGTTGTTATTGATAAAAAACATAAAGAACTTATGTCAAATGATTATCAAGATCTTCAATTCTATTTAGGAAATTCTTTTCTTAATGACAATATCGATCGACCTTCCATTATCAGAATTGAAACTATTTAACAATAACTAAATCAATCTTTCCTTTTCTTCTTTTTTTTTTTAAATTAAATTTTAAAAATAAAATGTTTAACATTTTTTTTATTTTAAAACAATTTTTTCATTCGAAAAAAAATTTCCCATTACAAAAAAAAACAACATATGCTCGTGCTCCCATTGCTTTCTATATGTGTTAGAACGATCGACGCCTACTAACAACAATGGTCGAATAGAAATATAATTCGAACTTGTTTCTTTTCTATGATACCTCTTTTCTTGGTTTAAGAGCTCTCTGTCTGCTCATATTTCTTTCTTCAATCAATATGATCAATGATCTGAACGTACCGCATGACAAAAGTTGGATCTTTATCTGAAATAAAAGTTATATTAATATAATAATTTACTTTTGTCAGACCCATTTTTTACCCTCATAGCACAATAACAAAGAAGGTTATTCTATTTATAAACAACAAACAAAGATGCAGTCGATGTATAAAATTCCTTTGTATTCGATTGACGATTCATCCATGCGATTATATACATAAAACGCGCTCGTATCATCAGATGTAAAAAGGCACGAAGGTTAAAGAGCTGCGGATACCTCCAGATCTGGCCTCGAACCGGATTGGGTTCGAGTCTAATATGTTATTTTGTTGTCGAACCCGGTTACACGTCTTTATGGACCCGCCACTTCCCTAGATGAGAAATACAACAATACGATATAACTGAACCTTGAATTTTTCTGTGGCAGCAGCGACTAATTAACTAGAACCTTAGTATTTCGTTTGTTTATGCGCACGGAGAGTGCCAAATATCGATGGAAAAAAACTTTGGGAATGGATCCAGTCGGGTCCGGATCCAAGTTTCTAATCTTTTCCCTGCTCGAGTCCACAAAAATGTGGATCCACAGGTTTCTAGTGGCGATGCCACCTATGCATTATGAAGATGTACAGGCGACGAACCGCTTATGCATCATGAAATACCTAAGAAAATATCGTTCATTGGTCAGTTTATGGAGATTTTCTCGTCCAAGTTACAGCCGTCTGCATCAAGATGACATATAGCCTCTTAAATTTTTCAGATAAACATGGATTAGCAAAAAATGTTTCTTTTATTATATATTCGAAACTACATTCGTTATTTTTATATTAATATTGGGCTAAAGAGAATTTCTTTTATACGTACAATTAATATAAATCAGCTTATTTGATGTTTGGTTTTCAATATAAAAGAGAATCAAACGATTTTAACTTTTAAGGATGAATTCTTATTGTTTATTACTATCGCTCTATGAATATTTAAGTTGAAGTTATAAGATAAAAGATAAGCTCTGAAAATTGATTTATACCTAACTGACACATTCAATTGCAATTTGAACAATCAATTGATTTTTTTTTATTAGTAATCTGTCTATTTTATTTTCTTTTTATTAACAATTAAAATTTTCAATTAATCAAACAATTAATATGATAAAATTATTTTGTTTAAAATTTAAGTAAACAATATAATGATCATGTTATTGATTTATCATCTCAATCAATAAATGAATTTGATGTTAATCATTATATATATATATATATAAATCTTTCTCAAATAAACGAACTTAATATTCGACAAAATTTAATTAAAAATTGGTCTCAATTATGGATTATTTTAGAAAAATATTTTCCCAAATTAGAAATCTTAAAAGTTAGTAATTCTCGAATCAATTTTGATATCAATCCATCAAATGAATTTATTAATATAAAACAAATTGTTCTTATTGATATAGATAATGATTGTCATTCATTTGAATATATTTTAAAATATTTTCCAAATTTAATTGATATTCATTTAGATTTAAATCATTTAACTTTTATATCAGAAAATTTTGTTAATAAAATAAAAAATGTAACTAATTTATCATTATCAGATAATCAAAGATTAATAGAATGGGATCCATTTATTAATCGATTAGGTTTACTTCCATTTCTTCAAGAATTAATTATTAATAATTGTGGTATAGAACAAATTAAATTACCTAATCAAGGTTTTATTTTTAAAAAATTTTGAAAATAAATAAAATTTTTTTGTTTTCTTTTTAATATTTAGTTGATTCAAATGAATTATTTCAATCATTAAAGTATCTTTATATGTCTGATAATAAAATAAGTTCATATTCATCAATAAATGAATTAAGTCGTATATCATCATTAATATCATTCAGTATACTTCGAAATCCAATATATGGATTAAATCAATTTGAAAATGAAACAGCTAAACAAATGATTATAGCTCGTTTACCTAATTTAACATATTTAAATCGAGTTTTAATTAGTCATGATGAAAGACGTGGAGCTGAAATTGATTATTTACAACGTTATGCTCAAGATTATTTTGATA